TAGATAGATAGATAGATAGATAGATAGATAGATAGATAGATAGATAGATAGATAGATAGATAGATAGATAGATAGATAGATAGATAGATAAATAGATAGATAGACACACATGTATATTTATTATTATGTGAACTATGCAGCATATTTTGGGACTATTTTATTTAAATTAGTGTGATTTATATTTTATCATGTTTGTGTATTTTAATGTATTTTACTGTGATGTAAAAATTGTAATGTATTTTCTAATATTTTGATGCGATTTTCAAACCGCATAATAAAGCTCAAAGGGCAGGAAGTTTTAGAGAGTAAATGTCCAGCTCTGATTGTGATCATCAACATGCTATCATCCTGTTTAAACATCAACTCTACATTTAATACTGAGATCATTCAGTGAATCCAAAGTGTTCTTAGAACTTAGAGAGTAAAGTTAGTCCATGTGATGAACTGGGCTGGTGGCTTCCAGAGTTCATTGAACTTTTTAAATCATGCACTTTTTCCCAATTAATTATTTTGTTTCATTGGTAAAGTTGGTAATGTTGGTCCAGAACCACTAATGGTACTTTGGCTCTGAGTTTACCTTGCTGCACCTTTGGACAATAAACTACCTGCTGCTCTAGCTGCTCAGGACAGGAAGTGCATGCATTAAAAATAAAAGCATTCGGCTCAAAGTGGAAGTCATGGACCTCACTAGAAAAAATCACTTTAAAACCAGTGAAATGTAACACATTCCAAGTTACTGTAATAAAATCCAGTTCTGTTTATTTAGGCTCTCTATGATAAATGGTGATGTTTAAATAAGTTTTAGCTTCTGACAACACTCAACTTTGCGACTAGCTTGTTGAAAACATCTTCTTTAAGGCGCCCTTTTGCTTACAAGCAACAAATCATAAGAAATGGATGACCAACTTCAGAATTAGATTTGATAGAAGAAATAAAAAAGTGGAGAGGCCTTTTAAGGCCAGGAATGATCAGCGCTACCCATGGATGACTGGCTGGGACAAGAGTTGACCTTCTTTTTGATAAGCAGTGCTGAAATCCCACCACATCCCACAACAACAAGGTCAGACGGAACAGAAAACCCCTTAAAGGTCTCATCAATATTGCAAAGCAAGAGGTGGCATTTCAAGGACATTATGAAAAAAGGATTCTGAAAACAAGACGAGCAATTTGGCGCTGTTGGATTGCACGAAAGCCCTGTGCCTGTCATTTGGATTGAGCCCAAAACGGCCTGATTCAGTCAGTGGAGGATGTAATGAATAAAGCTTTGAGGAAGGAGGTGAGAAAAACACCCTTTGTCTCCATTATGCTGGAGGAAACCACTCACATGAGTTATGCTGCTCAGTTGTCCAATGTGTTGCATTACATCACAGAGGGTTTTGTGAAGGAGAGCTTTTTTTAGTTTGGTGAGATCAGTGGCAATAAGCTTGCAGAGGCCATAGATGACCAAGTGTTCTGCAAGGGTGTTCCTGCACCAGTAAGGGGATAGCCCAGTGTTAAGGAGCTGCATTCATGGGATCTGGACCAAATGGGGTACAAACCAAGGTGAAGGAGAAAATCCTGCAGGGACTCTTCATTCAGCCATGATCGGTTTAAGGAATCTGACCCCAAATGCAGAGAAACCACTCAGAGAACACGTAGAAAAGTTCAACAGGTTTATTTGTGGTAATGAGGACAGGGGTTGGTTCTGGAACTCACTGAACTGGTGAACCAGAAATGGAAAGTCTGAAGGGAAGATCACAGAGATCAGTTCAGGGACCGTGGGAATTGAGATTGTGCCTTGAATTATGCAGGAGAGGGACCCACGTTTGAGGGGGATCTTGTCGATCCCTGAATCCAGAGTCTGTGGGATTATCCAGACAAGAGGGAACTCGTTGGAGGGTGGACAGGTAGGCATATGTTGGTCCAGGAGGATTAATGGAGCAGACTGTCACTTGGATATCCGATGTGAACTTGAACGGATCATGTGAAGGTTTTCCCCTGCTCAGTGTGAACTCAGTGATTCCTTCCAGGGGGAGAAGGTCCAGGTATCCAGTTATACAGGAAGGCTTCCTGCCGAAGACGAAAGACAAAAACAACATAAGTCTCAGAGAAACAAAGCTCAAGCTAGACTCTACTAATCTCAGCTTGGCTAGAGTACCCAAAACTGGCAAACACTCTGGCGCCGGGGTAGTGACAGCCCACTGCTCAAATACTCCTCCAGTAATGGTCCAATGAACCGCAGGTGTGCAGGGAGGCCCAACAAGGACAGGTTACCACCTGGTGGTGGGGAGAAGGAAAACACATAAACAGACCACACAAACTGGATTTCTAACACATTTATTGCTATGCACACTCCCTGAATCTTGTAATTTCTTGACGATCTGCTAAAATTAAGAGCACAACTTTTTTGTCTCCCACATACAAAAGCAGCCATTCAAAATGGCCCTTCCTAGTCAAACGACAGCTGAATGGCAGCCCACTTCCCTGAAACTACCATCAAAATCTCCTCCAACTTCTAGACATTGGAGTGACCCCCTTCTTCTCCTGAGGATAGATATTTTTCTTACTCTGACTCCACCCATTCACTGAATTTAGATCTTAATCTTTAGATCTTAATGTCCACAAATCATCACAGAAATAATATTTTAGTACAAAGATGGATGCCAAGGACCAGCCAAGGACCCATCAAGCAAAGTGGGGAAGTTTTCAATGGCTACTACTGTAAGTGGCCTAGCAACCCTTTTCACAAAATCTCCCCAGCACATAAAACTCCTGGATGAATGCAGGCCGAGATTGCCCAGAGTGACTCCAACACTGCACAGCACAAACTAGACAGTGCATTAGTGGAGAGAGGAACTTTTAAAGCTCTGTGAGTTCATTGTCGGCAATCACAATGATTTCAATGATGATGCTGTGCACAGCACTGATAAATACTTGGGCTTTGAGTTCTGCTGTCTTCTTTAGAAATGAGATCTAAATCTGATGGCAGCCTGTAGAATGACATTAAAACAGGTTCTATGAGTTCCTCTGTTTCAGCATGTTAGTCTTTCTGCTGCAGAGTTTGGACGACCTGAAAATAAGACAGACCTTGCTATTGAAAGAAGGAAACAGACTGTTACAGTAGTCCACTCCTGTAGAGACAAAAATAAATCTTGTGAAGTTTTTAGATGGAAAAGGCTTCTGAGTACTTTAAATGAAGTTCCAGGGAGGAAGCTTCATCAACAAGGAAACACTATGTTTCTGAGGCTACGCTGAGTACTAAATCATCCTGCTGCAGTTTAATGTCAGAGATTTCACTGTCTGGTCCGATAGTTATAGCTTCAATTTTGTCTGAGTTTATCTGGAAGTAGCTGTTATTTAACCATTAATCAGCTTCAGAATGCCTTAAAAGGTGATATTCAAGGATTAAAAAAAAATATATATATTTCAGGGTGGAAATGTTTCAAGTTAAGGCTGGTGTTGGGAGACAAAGAAAGACTTGAGAGTAAAGAGAAGAGGAGACAGAGCTCCTGTTGATCCTTCTTCTCTTTTTTATCAAAAATTCTGTCTATGAGAAAACAAACAATGCATGAACCTTCGTCATGCATTGTTTGTTCGTCACATGGAGAGATCATAAGAAATTGAAAAGCTTAGCAGTGGAAAAAAGGCAGCTAATGAAAAGTTGGATTAAAAACTTAAATTAATGAAGCTTATAATCTACATGGGTCTTTTATCTTGGTTTCAATGAACTAAGTTTGAGCTGTTTTTGTTACAGTCCTGACAGCTACTCAGCAGCTTTTTGCAGTTTTACGATAATATTAAACAGTTTAGTTTATTATGTAAACTTAAAGGTCTGATTAAAGTAATAAACAGCAACAGAGTGCCACCATAAGTTAAAGTGAGAAAGAATGAACAAAAAACATCAACAGATAGTGATTGAAATAGTTTATTGGTCTAAAAAGAACAATGTTGGGGAAAACAGAGATAAAAAATTTTACTAAAGATGAATTATTAATTTAGTGTGAACTTAGGTTATGTAACACTTTGCATTTAATGATGTTTCTTTTCCACAAAAAATATTTGTTTACTGTAAATGTATGTTAATTAGTAGGTAGAATTGTGATAGAAATATTCAGTTCAGGTTTTAACAATAATCACAAAAGCATATAAACTGGTTTTTGTTTTTTTTTATGTGTGCGGAAGGAGGAAAGCTGTGAAAGATACCTGCCCTACCCTGATACAGCAGATTGTTTTATGACTATCTGGTTAAAGTACATACGGTCATTTCAGAAGTTATGAACTGAATTGAGACGAAATACCTGGGTGTTAAATCTCTCCTGGAAAGGACACAATATTTGGAGGATTTTTAAAAGAAGCTGAATCTTTGGTGAGTCCTGCTGTTGAAATAATTCACCAAAACTTGAAAAACAGGTTAAAGAAACCGAAAGTATTTACAGACGTTATTGAACTGAGCTGAGACGCCATTACTGGGTGTTAGATCTCTGCTGGAAAACGAGAGAAATATTTTGGTAATTGAAAGGATAATCTGAAACTTTGGTGAGTCCTGCTTTTGAAATAATTCACTAAAAATGGCAGAGAGAGTTTTTGAAAGTTTCCTGAGCTGCCATGTGTGTTCAGAGACTTTCAGAGATCCTGTGTCTCTGAGCTGCAACCACAGCTTCTGTTCAAGCTGCCTGAAGGAATTCTGGGAACAAACTGGAAACAAGAACTGTCCCATCTGTAAAAGAAGATATTCTAAGGAGTGTCTGCTAGTGAATTTCGGACTGAAGGAAGTGGCTGATATTTTTGCTGGCAGACAGAAATCTGGATCATCTGAGACAGAAAGAGGAGAAAAGCAGCTGATGGTGGTCTGCAGTAAACACCAAGAAGACCCTAAACTGTTCTGTAAAGACGAGCAGAGAGCTGTGTGTCCTGTCTGTGAGTTTTCTCTCCACCAGAGTCACAAAGTGGTTCCTATAGAACAAGCAGTCAGTGAGCTGAAGGAGCAGCTGGAATCTGACTTAAAGTCTCTGCAGGACAAGAG